CGCTGTAGGTTTTCTCAACTCAGTAGCTCGATGAAACAGAGGTTGTTTGGTGTCGGGCCTTCTCAGTCCTTCATGTGTTTTTCTCTTTTGGTCTTGGATTTTGGGGTGGGCTATCTGCGAAAGCTCCATGGTGACTTCTGCATCCATTCCCCGCGCGTCTGTGGTCTGTTTAGCGATTCTGAATTCCTGGTCTATCTTCTTTCCGTCTTGTTGGGTAGTCGGTTCAGGGATCTGAGGCAACGGGTTACCTTTTTTCACCAACGTTTCTGGAACTTTTTTCTGTTCGCCAAGTGTTTTGACAAGTTTCTGGGCTTTCTTCTCTTCCTCTTTTTGCGTTGACGAGTCAGAGATCTGTCGCTGCATGGTCCTGTCAATTGTCCCTTTATGGAAAACACTGTTTTTGGCTGCGTTTGATCCACCTATCTGAAAATTTTCCTCTGTTATTTGTTGGACAAATGGAGTAATAACAGGATGTTGTACAGTCTCCCTTATATTGAAATGGTTGTCCAGGGTCCGTTTCGCTTTGCCTTTCATCGAATGATTTGGGACTGTTTGGTTCATTTTCCAATACAAATGAAGCTAGACGTTAAGGACGATGTTTTTATACGTATTTCGACTTATAAAGCCGGCAGAGGCCCATGTCTCTACCTGATTAATATGACGTAAATTGGGCGTTGTTTTTGAAAACAAACTATCAAACGCGCCCATCATATAGAGGCTGATCGTCACGTTATTTATCCGGACAGTAGATTTTTCTTTTACCAGCATCACCCTTCGCTTTCATCTCATTTGTCCGACATTTTTTTAGTGAATTACAAGTCATTTAGTCAATTTCGTGCTTTGCTACGTTTAGTAGTAATTGTTGCCTTAAAGAGAGTATAAAAATAAAGACTTTTTGATCCCTTCCGCTTGTATATTTTTGTTTCCTTGAACTTGCAGCTCTACAATTCCATTGGTTGATCTTTATCTCCATATATCTTATCAACGTCAATTAGTTTTCCTTTTATTTCTAGCGCTGCAATTTCACTGGTTGATCTCTTTCGTTTGTGTATTTTTCAACGTCAGCTGGATTTTCTTCAATTTCCAGCTCTTTGCAATTCTATTGGTTGATCTGTTTCTTTTGTTTTTTTTTTAACGTCAGTTGGATTTTCTTGCGTGTCTTGCCGAGCCTGCAATTCCGTTGGTGAACCTCTTTCTCTGGCTTATTGGTTTATGTTCTACTTGCAACTCGGCAATTCCATTGGTTGATCTCTTTTTTTGTTTATTTTTCAACGTCACTGAGTTGGATGTCCTTTAATGTATTGCAGCTCTGCAATTCCATTGGTTGATCTCTTTCGTTTGTTTATTTTTAAACGTCAGTTGGATTTCCTTTAATGTATTGCTGTTCTGCAATTTCATGGCAATTTCACTGGTTGATCTCTTTTGTTTGTTTAGTTTTAACGTCAGCTGGATTTCCTTCAATTTATTGCAGCTCGGCAATTCCATTGGCTGATCTTTTTCTTTTGGTTTATTTTTCAGTCAACGCCAGTTGGATTTCCTTCTATTCCAGCTGAGTCTGCGATTCCATTGCCTGACCTCTTCCTTTTTTGTTTATTAGATTATCTTCTATTTGTTACCCTCCAATTCCATTGGTTGATCTCTCTGTTTTGTTTACTTTCCAACTTTAGATGAATATTTTCAGCCCTGCAATTCCAGTGGTTGTCGCCAACTTGTCTCTTATCCTTCGCAACGTTTTGTTTATTTAGTGACGAAGGTAACACAACAAACGAACATCGATATCCCACATTTTTCTCGTGCTTCTTCTTGTCCAATTTCATGCGATTTGGTCCATGCACATACTTGCTTAGCAACAAAGCTGCGACAATACAAAACGAGGACAAACTTGGTCAGTTGTTTTTGAGGCCGTTTTAACGGTCAAGAAATGCTTTTGGCGCTGAATTTTGACGGAAGAAGTACTAAAGAGAAAATTATGGGCGCAATTTCGACCATTACCTGCACAAAATAATAGCAAAAATCGAGATAAAAGAGCCCTTGTATTGCGTGTCATCACTTGAAAAACCAAATCGTCATTCTGCCCTCGGCTGAGAGTCGCGAAGTTTTTAATTTTTTCTTTAATTTTACCCCTTACTCTTTAGGTCATAAGAGTGACTAAATCAATTTTCTCTCTAGGCCTAACAATGTCAGTGCATTATCAAAAGAAAAGGTTAAGAGAACTTATAACATGATCGCACAAGGGAAAATGTTTTGACCTTTCATCAAATTCTCTCGTCTAATTTGGATTAATTTGTGGATTAGGGCCAGACTCGTACCCAGTCGCTTCTCTGTATGCGCTGGGATTGATGGGAAGGATCAACGAGTTCGCGGTGCAGTTCATAAAAGTATTGGAGACAGAGGCAGTCCGACGATTATTTTTAGTCCCATGGGGCACTCCCTAAACGGTCCTTACTGGAAGGCTCCTGCCAAAAGGGGTACCTGGGTACCTTTTTCAGGGGCTTCAGGGATATAAAAGAATAGCGATTTCACTTGTTGAAGTTTTTGAAAGGGGAGGGAAATCTATCATTCGGTCTCTAAATTAATAGGACCTTAGAAGACCTAATAGATGTAGTTTACGCTTACGATGCATTTAACAGCAGCTAAAAGAGATGCAGAATTCTAAACTAGATGTGGGAAAAAGTACCATCAAAGGGGTTACCCTCTAATTTCTGACAAACTGGATGGACTTAAAGGCGGAGCCTCCCCATATTAAATTTTGTTGAGTGCCTCCACGTGGCAACTTGTCAGACATTTGGTTGGTCTTATCTTTTCGATTCCTTTTAAGGTGGACGCAAATACAGGAGTACTCTCTGTCCAACGCTTATTTGATACTCGTGGGGAACAAATGCGATATGGAAACGGACAGAACTGTGACTTATGAAAAAGAAAAGCAACTTGCTGAGCAAACTGGACTTGAATTCTTTGAGACTAGCGCCAAGGACAATGTCAGCGTACTTCGGGTGTTTGAGTGTCTCAGTTGAACTTATTATGAGTGACGCAAATAATGACAATGACAAGGATCGTTACAAAATGCTAAAATGCTGGCGATTTACAGCCCAAAAATTAACTACAAGTGGCGACAAAATTATTGAGACACCGTGGTCAAACAATTTCAAAGAACATTTCCCCAACCTCAGTTCAATGTTTCAGGCGGCTTGCATTGCACAGTTAGCGGAACAACGTTTTAGAGGGGCTCGGAGAAGTTTCCTTTATTTTTATCAGTCTTTTTAAAACTGTGGCCGATAGTACAGTCAAAACCCGAGCGTAAGTACTTTTTTCAGCGATCTGAGCTCCAAACGTAAAGCAAGATTCCAGGTGATTTCAAGGGAGAAGATTTGCGCGTATTAGGCAGGTCGTTGTTTGTTCCTGGTTAGTTCCTGAATCGTAGAATCCCGATCCCAGAAGATACATGAGCAGAAAGAAAGCCAAACCAAATATTGGAAAATGACCAGAAAGCCTCGGGTCATGTTAGAATTTAATAGATCGAACGTGGGCTATTCAATAAGCGTCCCTCCCCCGGCCTACCCCCTGTTTTGTCGCGTGTTAAGTGCTGCCTTTTTTTGATCCTCTTACTATCAGTTGGAAGGACATACCGTAAAATTCCGAAAATAAGCCCCTCCATGTATAAGCCCCTCCCAATGTAAGCCCCTAAACCGGTAACGCAAAAAACACTCCGTTAAATCGCCCCTCCAAATATAAGCACCCTGGGGGCTTGTACTTGGAAAATTGTCCTCAACTACAAAGTAAAACAAAGCAAAAACGTTAAATTTACAAGCCCCTCTGAATATAAGCCCCTCCAAAAACAAGCCCCTCAAAAAGGGTCTTTGAAAAATATAAGCCCCGGGGCTTATTTTCGGAATTTTACGGTGAGGGGCTTGGTCGGTTATCAACAAAATGAGAGGGCGGGATTAAAGGTCATAATGAGAATCGACTCACGCTGTTCAATTTGTTAAACAAGTAAATGCAAACAAAAATACAGCGTGAAAGTTTAAAACACCAGCATGGAAAGAAAACGACGGGATAGCCTGCGTAGCAAGCGTTTCTGCGCGAGTTCGTCGAGAAAGTTGGGAAGAGAGCAAAAAAAAAGAATGACCCCGCTCTAACTTTCCCGCAATAACTCGATTGGAAACGCTTGCTACACAGGCTAACGACGGGCGGATTTTTGATTTTCCTGTGTGAGACTCCCCTCTTAACTAATAAAAATTGCCACGTGAAAAGTTCACCAAGAAAACGATTGTTATTCCCTGCAAAAAGAGACGATCGGGGCGGCTGGGAATAGGAACGAAACACTTTGGCATGAATTTGTAACAACAAAAAGGAAAGCAATTTATTTATATGATTTTCTAAATATAGATTATGAGATGTCAATTTCAAAGATCGACTGAGATAAAAGTGTCGATTACTTTATATATATTCCATTGTTGAAAAGCAAAATCCCGGCGATATTAACTTAAAGCAAATTAGTCTTCGAAATATTCCGGGCAGGTTATAAGCTGAACGGCCTTCTAAACGTAATTAGTACAAACGTTACTTCGCTAGAAATATTTGTAAACAGTCCGTGTGTTAATTCAGTTACCCTGCTAATCAGTAATCTAGGAAAGATCGAAGCGACTCTGTTAGCAGGGTGGTGTTTAGTAGGAGGCGCAGCCATTGGAATCAGTCAGACGCACTAAAACTGTAAGAAAAACTGCGTTGGTTTTTCATGGTCATTGTCATTGGCTAGTCTAACTTTTAAGCTGCCGATTTTTCATTAGAATGGAAAGCAAGAATTTGAAATTACTCACTGATGTAAAGAAAACAGCGCCCACTACTTTTTTCGCGCGAGTGCGCGGGTTTCGTCGACAGGTGAATTCAAAAATTGCTGATTGGTTCTTTCAAAATTCTATTGTGTTTCCTTTATTCTGATTGGTCAGTGGTTACCGATATCCGGGCACTCGCTGTAGAGGAAAAGTGTTCCAGAGAGAAACATGGCGAACGCCAACGACAAACAGTGGCAGAAAGATGCGGCCGACCAGAATTTCGATTACATGTTCAAACTTCTGATCATTGGAAATTCTGCTGTGGGAAAGACATCATTTCTTTTCCGATATGCTGATGATTCGTTCACTTCAGCATTCGTGTCAACAGTAGGAATCGATTTCAAAGTGAAGACGGTTTTTCGAAACGACAAGCGAGTCAAGCTGCAGATTTGGGATACAGGTTAGCTTAAACATGATTTCCTTGTCGTTTCGTTGTTTTCTTATTTTTGGGAAAGTATGACTAACTGACTTTTTTTTCCAGCCGGCCAAGAAAGATACCGGACAATAACAACTGCATACTATCGCGGAGCGATGGGATTTATTCTGATGTATGACATTACAAACGAGGAGTCGTTTCAAGCTGTTCAAGATTGGTAAGATTCCGTGTTCTTTAAATGCATTTATTTTGTGTGATCTTATTAAATATATTAGCAAGTATGGTGTCCTCTGAATATGCATATTTACGGTAGAAAATGGCAAAAATTGGAACTTTTTGATCGTAAACTTCGCGCGTTGTAAGCAAACCATGTAAGCTTAAGTTTAATTTTACGTTTCCTCATTGAGCGTGTTACTTGGTAATCAATTTGAGATAAAAAAAAAAAAAAATCTTAAAGCTTTTCTTTACTGTAACGCTTAATTAAATATCGGTGTAATGAAGCAGGTCCTCGGCGAAACAGGAATTTTCACGAATGGTGAAGGTTGTTGTTCGATCAGGTTATTTCCTCGAAACAATTATAGAAATTATTTGAAGAATGTAATTCCCATTTCAATCTTTTCACCTCTCTGTGTTGCGTGTTGGTTTTGATCGGATCTTTGGAGCTTCGACACCAGAATTTTATTTTATGACACGCCGGTGTAAACATTTGTTATGTATGTGTAATGTTTATCGAAATTGTGTTGACCCGTGAGACGTTTTCATTTCTTGATGTTTTCTGCAGAAGTCTGCATGTAAATGTGCGCTTCTCGGTTTATGTTCGGCGTCAATTTACAGTACATTTGAGCTTACTTGCCGTTTCTTTAGTCGTCGGACTGAGTTTCCATGATGCGCAGTTATAAGACGTAGAAGCTTAAAAACCTTAATGTGAGATTTTTTTATTTCCTTAAACGTTATTTAAGACTGTGAAAAAATTTAGTCAGTTGCAATATAATTAGTTCCGCCATTAATTAAAAAGAATGCATACGTGTCGCACTACACATACATTTCTAGGGCAGGTAAAAATGCAAAAGAATCTTGAGATTATTCGGGATTTGCATTATGTTATTTTTAATGTTTCTTCATAAATGTTAAAAGAATGTAGCCATAGGTGACAGGTTCTGGCTGGCCCTTGTTTGCAAGACTGGCTCTTGGTATGTTAATTAAATGCAATGAAAAATCAATTTTGTGATTACAAGACAACCAAGCCAGGCCAATAGATTTTTTAACCAATACGGTGGCCATATAGATCGCTTTCACTGTCACGCAACAAAAAATAAATTGGAAACCGTCCATTTGTTGAAGCCAAGAAAATGAAATGTTCTAAAAAACTAATATATCAACAATTTGTCCAAGCGTCAGGTCTTTGTGGCCCACAATATTGGTGTACAGTTTTGGTGCACCAATATGGCCATCTTAAATCAACAAAAACATCTGGAGTTCACGATTTCTATAAAAGGTCTCAAATTACGTATAACAATTTTGAAATATCACTTGTGGTATTTATGCCAAATATCACTACAAATCATGCTATTGCCTATACAATTTCTTTGATATCTCTTTAAAGGTCAACTCAGGTCAAGACTTACTCTTGGTCCAATGCTCAAGTGATACTTGTTGGCAACAAATGTGACATGGAGGAGGACAGAGTCGTATCTTATGAAAGGGGAAAGAATCTAGCTGACCAACTTGGACTGGAATTCTTTGAAACCAGCGCCAAGGAGAACACGAATGTCAAGCAAGTGTTTGAACGCCTGGTAGATATAATCTGTGACAAGATGTCAGAGAGTCTAGATTCTGATCCTACAATTGTTAGCGGGCAAAAGCCTGGGACAACAAATTTATCAGACAAGCCACCCAAGCCACAGGATAGTGGATGTGCTTGTTAATACATTTTATTATTAATTATATTTGACCAATAAATCTGACTAGGCCTGAGCTAAGATGTTTACCATTTCATTTTGCTTTAGAATAGAGATCCACTGTTGCACAGGGTTTCTACTACTTCTACTACCGCTGACTTACGATAACTTGAACCTTCTAGGGAAATCGAAAAAATTCGAGTTATGGAAAGCTCAAGTTATTGGGACTTTAAAGAAAGTAACCTGAAAAAAGAAAATGAGCAAATGGGATGGGGAAGAAATGCAAGTATCATGCACACTTCACTTCATGGGCACGACACTGTGTTTAAATTTGACTGACAAAAGACATAGAATACAGGGTTGTTTTTAAGTAACTTCAATGTTCAGATTGCAGTATGCTGTTTTTTTCCTTGTCACGTAGTAAATCATGGTTCCAGTTACCAAGAGTAAAATTATGTAGAAATGATCTGAAGGGAAACAAAAATTACTTCAAGTTAGCAGGAGGTTCAAGTTATTGAGGGTTAGAGTTACTGAGGGTAAAATTACAGTGAATGTATGAAGGAAATCTAGGGAAAATCGTTTTTGGTTTCAGTTAGCGTGAGGTTCAAGTTAGTGAGGGTTCAAGTTATTGGGAGTCAATGGTACTTAATTCCTTAGAGGTTCCTGGAATTTTAAAAATTTCTTTGTGGCCTGGAAATACTCCTTGAAATTTCTCTTTGTCTCAACCCACTCCCAGGAAACTTGTGGAATTTAGATGAATGTGGTACGTGTAGGTATGAATGGAATGCAGGTACAAAGGCTTCTAAACATTTTTCCTAGAAAACGTTTATATTCTCGTTTTAGCAAAATTTATTAGATGTAAAGTAGCTTGATGGATCTTATGTATCTTCAAAAGTCCTTTCAAAAGTCTCTGGAATTTCACTTTTTGGCAGTAATGCAAACCCCGGCTTCAGAAGTTTAGAACAAAAAATGTTGAGAATTTAAACCTTGCCTTTGTTTCCATGGTTGGCATAATGTGCCCTCGAGGAAATTTCACATAATTTCCCATTGCTAAGTATCGATGTGTTTGTTGATAAGGAGTTAAATGTAATAATTATTACAACACCGTGGTACTGTAGAGGGGGGAGTTTCACTTAAATACAATCATGTGGAAAAGATTATGTGCTGGGTACTTCTTTCGATTTAGATTGGAAATATTGACTTTTTTAAAATTATTTTATGCAAGTTTCATGGAAGACATCTAAACTCAGGCTAGGATATTCTTATTTTAAATTTGCAGAATTGTTTCTGTCTCACTTTGAGTCTGTTCATTGAGGCAAGAAGCCTAGTTCATGCATGCTATCATAGTTGTAGTCTTTCACTATTAATACATGTATATTTTCATTTTAACCCTTTAAGCCCTAAGGGTGTTAAATATCATTGAAGTTCTCCTTGTTTAAAACAGAGTGGTCATGAGAATTAGGGACATGACCACATGCGAAAAAAAATTAATAAATTGAGTCTTAAATAACTTCGCCACACCACTGCTGTAGGAAATGTATAGGAACAACAAATGAGAATTTAAGTTGTTAGGGTTAAAGGGTTTATTTCATTTTACCATTTTCTCATGAACCAGAAATACATCTTTACATAGCCTCATCACCGTTGTAGGTCAGTGAAGTCATGATAAAGATTAAGAATGAAAAAAAAAATAGTTAAGGAGGAGTTTGGTAGTTTGGTAATATTAATCTTAAATTAGAATGTTGCAGTATAATTGCAAATGCATTGGGGCCATATATTGAGCCATTTGCTGTCAGATTTTTCCTTTGCAATATTGTCATCTAGCAGCCTTCTAATGTCCCCCGTTAACTTTGCCAAAGTCATCCTTTGAGAAATTGATCAATAGTTTCTTGTTACTTGTTAAACCTTTTATTAGTTCTGGTAACAATTAAGGGTCATTGGCTGTTGTCAGGGGGTGTTTACATGACACCGGGGCGACTTTCGCCCTGGAGCGAGCTCACTCCGGTTGCCTCTCATGGCTCTATATTTGTTTACATGATACCACCACAAAATATCGTGCCGGCGCGAGTCACCCCGGCGTGAGTTCACCCCGATTCTTGTATCGGGGCGAGAATTTCACTCCGGTACGAAATCTCGCATCGTTATCATGTAAACACGAAATGACCACCTGTTTCGGTGTGAAATCGGTCGCAGGTAGACTGGAACGGATAGCGCATACGTAATGTTTGCGATTTTGAATCACACGTGTATTTTATCAACATGAAGTGTACCTTCAAATGACGAGATATGAAATGACCCAGTCATCATGTAAACGCGATATGAAATCAAAAAGTCATCCTGGTATGAGACTCGCGCCGGTGCGAGTTTTCTCATGTAAACACCCCCTCACTCTAAAAGATGGCAAATTGTCTGGGTAGACAAGTTGTCTAGTGTGAAAACAGGACAAACAAAGTAATTTAAGATATGCAAGTTGTTTGTTGTTTTTTTTTTATTTGATAGAGAGGATTCTCCCAGTTGGATTTGTTTAATTTTAGGCGGATAAGTTATCCAAAGTCTGACTTCAATTTGAACCAGCTGAAAAAATGGTTGAGTACTTGTCTGTTCAAATGGTTTGTCCGTCTTTTAGTATGAAACTTGCCATCATCATGTTTGAAAATGTAAACAAAAATATACACTTAGGCATTATTTAAACCTTGTTTCTGACTACAACTCCACAATTAAGTTATTAGTATAAAATATAAGTTGTATTGAATATTGAATTTGTGGGTTTAAAAAGGTCTGGAGGAGTTAAATTCAAATCTACTCATGTAGCAAATAATTTATTTTTGTGGTTAATTTATTTTAACTGGTACCCTCTGAAAAAGATTAAAGCTTTTGAGGATTACAATAATTATTATTCAAATATATTATCCATGTGACAGTTATTGTAAGCATTATATATTGGACATAATAGTGTTGCTCGTGTATTGTTCAGACACTATGACAAGGTTACTGTCAGAAATAAATGCTGTGTTGAATTCTTCACTCAATTTATGCTGGAAATTGTTGATAACTTAATATGAGCCCAGCTGTATGAGGGCAGCTCTCTCAAGCCCCTGTTCCCCTAGTAAAGAGCAGTTTCTCCCTTAGGGGTTGGGGGGGGGGGGGCACTCAAGGGAATTCTGGGTAGGGTGTGCCGCCAAGGCCTTCAAAGCCGACCCTGTTTAAGTCAAAAATTGCTTATTTCGCTGCCCGTTTAAAACTGGTGACACTTTTTTCTGACTCTGATTTGTTTTGTTTTACATACAGAATTAAGGAATTTTTCTCACCAAAATCATGGAAAGAGATAATATTTAGGGAAAAAAATATTGGTATTGCAAATGTAGACCGCTCATTGCAAGTCTTTACACTTTTTGAAAAGTTTCCAGTCCAATAAGACACCCAGTTCAAGACAGTTAATCATGGAATTGTATACCCTGTCTAAGATTCAAGACCTTGAAAACCATACCCTGTTCAGCAGCATATACCCATATACCCATATAAGCTAAAAAGGGGAGTGTCCCCCCCCCTCCCTCTGGGGGTTTCTCATGTGCAAGTAAAATAAATTCTTGCTTAGAGGAATCTTATTTAGAGAAACTGAACATTTGATTGGAATCATCAGTAGTCACTTTAGTTGGGGGGAGGGGTAGGTATGTCACAAGTGACTTGGAATTTTAAAATGGCCTGCCTTTGCCAAAAAGAAAAAGAAACTTTCTGAATTCTACCTTATAACAGGGCCTCATTACATGTGGAACTGACTGATAAATGAAGGATGGTAAAGTCACCATAAAGTAATTATTACGCTTTTACAGGACCTTGAGTCACCTGTAAATAACTGAACCCTTTGATTTCCTGAAGAAAATTGGAAGACGAAAAAGGGCTCATGGAAGAAAACATTCAAGAAAAACATTTGGAAACAGGGGTCTATTTAATTAAAACTTTATGAGTGTAGCTATTGTTTTCGGACCCTAAAACAATAACTACACTCGCAAAAAAGATTTATTAAATTGACCCCAGGGTAGGTTGGGGTAGCTAGTACTCAATGAATGTTTGATTGGTGTGAGCCTGTGTGTGTGAGGTAGAGTGTGGGTCGATCACTGCTCTATCATAAGTCAAACAGTTCAAGTTCAGTATATTCTCACTCATTCAAAAAAGTACGTAAATACAATAATAATAGGAACTAGAAAAGAAGGAAATCAGAGCTAGTATACATGTTGAAGTATTGCCAGTTGGACAAGTGTGTAGTGGCCGAAGGAGCAAAGCTAGGTGGCCAAGGGCCGGCAAAGCTTGTGGCCAAAGGAGAAAAGCTATCAACATGTATTTATGAAGATGCAAGAAATGCGCCTTTTCCTTTTTTAGTAATAAACAAAGCAAACTTGACTGGACAACTGTGTTCAGCCACCTTAACTTGGTTAACCTGTGCACTGAACGCGAGAAGACTGAGAATGAAATAACGCAAAGACTCTTGGGAAGCTTGTTTGGCGCGAAGGACGAGCGCCATTTTCCAAATTTCTAACTGATGTTGTTTTGTAATCGCGTTCGTTTTTCGAAATGTACATCAAACAAGTCGTGATAGATGGCTTTAAATCTTACGCTCAGCGAACTACTGTTTCCGGGTTCGATCCACAGTTTAACGCTATCACTGGTCTGAATGGCAGCGGCAAATCGAACATACTGGACTCGATTTGTTTCTTGCTTGGAATTTCGAACTTGTCACAGGTTAGAATGTGTTTATTCTGGCTTCGGAATATTTCTTATGGTTATTCTGTTTTCTTTAGAAAAGAATTGAGTCGTTTCGGTGCGATTGCCCATATTTTATATGTGGTGCTAGGTCGTTAAAACTAGAAAACGCTTGCTCATAAATTATTTGACTTTATATGCGGTGCTAGGTAAAGCGCTTATTTCAAGTGCTTTATCGTTTATATCAAAGCTCTACACAAATGTATAAGCTTATGCAGCAGCAGCTTGTTGAGCGGAATAAAGCTTATCTCTATTCTCACGCGTTCAACAACGAGCAGTGTGTTGAGTGGCCTATTTCGCCCTAATTCAACGTTCAACAATGCATAATACGCTGTATTTCATATTTATAGGTGCGAGCTAGTAGCTTACAAGAGCTTGTGTACAAGGGTGGGCAGGCTGGTGTAACTAAAGCAACTGTAACTATTACTTTTGATAACTCGGACAAGAAACAAAGTCCACTGGGTTACGAAACTTTTGATGAAATCACTGTCTCTAGACAGGTGAGTAAAAGATAACTTAGCTTTACTATTTTTCTTTTTGTTGTTGTTTTTTTTTTTGCAAGTTATGAAAATATTGGTTTACAGTCATCTCACCATTAGAATATCTCGCGAGATGTAATTTAACCTCGGTTAGTATTAACATCAAATAAGCAGCGCCGATATTTATGTTCTGGGTCCTCAACGTATTACCAAAAGTGAGTTTTGAATTTCCTGTCATCTCGATTGGCAAATTGACCATGGCATTTTCAACAGGCCAATCATGGCACATGCTCAAATCCTGGTACACATGTGAGGATCCAGAACACGGATTTTGTTGCTGTTTCACAGATGGAATCAACAAGGGTTCAGATTTGTCTATGGTGCAGATTGTCTTTTAATTTGCCACCAAAAAAATGATTCACTGCCAAGCAACTCTCCACCAACTGTGTAGCCTGCATAGCTTGCAGGATTAGCAAGTGAGTGCTGTAGTTTTTTGGCAGTGGAGCCACGTGAAGAATGGGAGTAAGTCAAGTACCCCAGGCATTTGAATCAACTGCTTTTGAGATGCATATATACACTGGGGTTATTGTCTAGAATCTCATCTACATGTAATCCTAGTTGAGTAGAATGTGTCATAGTGGTAAGTTGACCTCTTGATGGCAGTTTCGTTGATGACGTGGTGACTGGCCAGTAAGCAGGGTGCAAAGAAAGTCAGTTTTACAGCCTGCCATTTGGGCAAGCTGTAGCTAGCATGTACTAGCCCACAAGTCATTTAAACTAGTCCCAAAACCCTTTTTGATTAGCAGGACTGATTACAGTCCTTTTGTAATTTGAATTTCCCCAAAATACAGCACTTGCCCGTCGGGCAAGTTAAGAACAAAAATCACTAGCCCGATAGCACAATCCACTGCAGCCCCTGGCTATCGGACACAACTTTCTTTGCACGCTGAGTAAGTTACCTTGCATTCAGAGATGCTCGGATTATCTCTGTGTCAGAATTCAGGGCCGTCACCAGGACTTCAAGATGCCGGGTACATGTATATGCAATTACATGTATTATGAGGAGAATTGAACAGTTACATGTACATTGTACAGGGTTGTCAGAAAGTATTGAAGTAGACGGCTGAGTTGTCAAAGTAAGCACCCAGTCCAGGGATATTTTATTTAAAAAACACCATCTGTAAAGAAATGCCAAGCAGAGTAGCCAGTTGATACTAACCAAGTAGGCGGTGATTTTTGCCTGCAGCCGGCTACTTTTGACAACCCTGATTGTAGGAGTTTCTATTGGCTCAATTTCCTCTTTGGTTTCCTATGAAATCAGCCAGGGAAAAAACTTGTGGCTCAAGTGCTGGAATTACTTCATGAAAATGATTAACTGTTTGTATTACTATATTTAATTACTGCAGGTTGTCATCGGGGGCAGAAACAAATATCTTATCAATGGATGCAATGCCAACAACACCAGAGTCCAGGACCTGTTCCGTTCAGTCCAGCTTAATGTTAACAATCCTCATTTTCTTATCATGCAGGTAGGTTCTGTTGAAATTAAGTGAATAAATAATTGTTGATGTCAAAGGCCTCTTAACTTTAAGCAATCTCATCTTGTGTGTAAGAAAAGGCACAGTTGTTACTACAGCTGTTACAGGTTCTCTTAGGGCCATGTCAAGACAGGAAATTGAGAATCACTTAAGTTAAATCAAAATTAACCTGAAATCAAATTTGACCTGTAACAGCTAAACTGTGGATTGTATTGCTAAAGGAATTTTTTATTTTATCATGATTATAGTCAAAAATAAGCTTAGTGATTAAATGTGAATGTCCTGGAATCAATACCATGTATGGGATGATGCTGTTTTGGGTTCTCTTCTCTACTCTGAGAGGTTTATATTGTACCTGTGATCCAGTTTTCCCCTCTCCCGAAAAACCAGCTTCTTCAAATTCCTTATTTTGTATTAGCTTTTGTATTAAATGAAACTATATGTATTTTGAATTTCCTTTATTTCATTTATAGGGCAGAATCACTAAAGTACTGAACATGAAACCTCCTGAAGTAAGTTTTGCAAAAACTTTAAGACTACAGTGTTCTCCATAAATAATATTTTTGCTCAGCCGGTAAGGGACCATTTTTAACTGGTAAGGCCAAAAAGACCTCCAGGCGGGGGGTTCAGGGTAGCTTCTCATTTGTGAAGGCTTTTATTTTCAAGCACTGAGGATGTTACTCTCAGGGTGACCTTTATGATATATTATGTAACAATAATTACTACTAATTTATTTATTGTGTAGTTGTACAGCCACACGTACTCACATACCATGTCACTTCCACTCTTTTTATTTTTTGTGTGAAATTAAATGTTACAATACTTTGTAAGAATCTTTTCGGCAGTCATTGTCACAGTATTTAATTACTTAGGAAAAAAGCAAAATGAAATCGAAATAACTTCCTAGCGGTTTAATTTCCTTGCTATTATTTGCATATGCCCAGCAACTTGAAATCTAAATGACATCCCTGGATGACTGAATAGAAATGTCGGTCCTGTTTGTAGATTTTGTCCATGATAGAAGAAGCAGCAGGAACGAGAATGTATGAGAGTAAAAAGCAATCTGCTCAGCGCACCATTGAGAAGAAAGACAGCAAGCTGCAAGAGATTGAAACTGTAAGATCCTCATTTAACTTTGTGTTGCAATACACTGCACATTGCATTGTGAAATTTCTTTTCCATATACAATGTACATGCAGTTACATGGTACTTATATATGTTGTAATAAGTGTGATTTTGCTTACTTAATGAAGATTTTGATGTTCAGTGTGGAAGTATTGAATGTGTACAACTCAAATTTTTTTTTTGTTACCTTTATATCTGATATGAAATTAACGACTCAGTCAAATTCTTTTTTATATGGATATCATTACAATGATCAATTTTTTTCAGATTTTGGCTGAGGAAATAACACCAACATTGACCAAGCTGAAAGAGGTACATTTACTATGTATAAAAAGAGCTGTTATTATGTGCATTTTCTTGCACAAAATCATTTAATTGCCAAACACCTAATGTTTCAGGAACTTAGTTGATAAAAGTTGGACCTTTATCAGTCATATCCAATCAAGAGCCTGACTGCACCATTTTCTACAAGTGTTAGAACTTGCTACTGCGTTAATGGGCCAATTAAAAAGGTGTCAAGAAAGCTTACTCTCCGTGATACTCCAGGCCTTTGAAATACCAAGCCAAATCTGGTGCATGGTAGCTGCAGTGTAGGTCTTTATGTTGCTCAAGACTATTTTCTGTGGACAGGAATCTTTTTGTGAAGTCTGCTCTCACAAAAATCATTAAAATACTGTCAATGGACTGTTTGTCAGCCACTGGCCATGGGTGGTAAATACATGAGTGACAATCGCTTTAACATCTGTTAATTGTTAGCCAATTATCGTCAACTGACTGCTAACAGATTTTTTTGGGATGTGTGCATTAACGTGTACACATTTACTGAATCTCCTAGTTTGATGCAAACTGTGATTTCCCTGTTTGTAGGAAAGAGCCTCATATCTTGAATACCAGAAGGTCATGCGGGAAGTTGAACATCTCTCAAGACTCTACATAGCTCACCAGTTTGTAATGGCTGAGGTAAAACAGTGGTACTTGTACAATGTATCTTTATCTTCATCTGGAAAAACCTTTAAAGTGGTCTAGGCACTGGTATGCTTATTGTTGCCTTTTTTTTCTTTTAGGATGTACAGAAAAAATCTGTAACTGAACTTGAGGAAATAAAGGAAAGCATAAGGAAACTCCAGGAAAATTACAAGGAGGTGAAGTCTGTCAAGAATTTAAATAGGGACTTTAAGATTCAACAATGCGGACGGCAACAAGAACATCGCTTAAAAAGTGAATGTCGGTTCCTTCAGTCTTTATAGCGATTATTCCTACGCACTTACTTTGTCAAATGTAGGCGAACCCTCCAGAAGCTGAATTTCAAGGGACCATAGCCAAGCTCAAATAGAGAAATAAAATTTTGTTGTTGCTTGTTTATGTCCTCCATAAACCGCAAAATTTGGCATTTTCACGTCGTAGTCATGCAAAAACAGGAAAGAAATGTACAAAAAAGCGTGATGCACATGCGAAGTTGTTGTTTTGCTCATTAAACCAATTGTGTTTTTTACGTTCTTGTTGCTGTCTGCGTCGTTGGATCTTAAACTCCCTAATATGCCTTGTGCACAGAAGTGGTTTTCTTCTAGCGTAACGTTTTTTAAATTCAATTTTTAAATTAATTCATTTGCATTTTGTACGGTGCTCTTGTAGATCGATGAGAAAGTGCTAGAACTTAATGTTGTCATCACCAAACTGGAAACAAAGAGAAATGCTGTAAGTATTTTATGATAGAAAAATTAATTCTGTAAACACCGACTTGTTTTAATCAAATTATGCTCTTGTGAAAGTGCAAATTCTTTCAAAAATATGTCAATTCCTTTCTTGGCATTTTCCTTGATCACTATTTTATAAAACCATCAAGAAATGACTGCCTTATCAGATAGTTAATATGGTTTTTGCCACCTTTGAGTAACCAATGGAGAGATACATGTAATTTCTTATTTATGAACTTGTTTTTCTGTCGTCAGGAATCAGGAGAAGTGATTGCAAAGTTGGAGAAAAAATTTGATGAAGTTTCTAAGGTAACCATTGTGTAGGCATGTTTTTCTTATATTATTATTTTTAAATTATTACTGAGTTTTAATAGGTTCAGTCATTTTTACTCAGTTAACTCGAAGTTCCCCGCTAACTCAAACTAAATTTCTTTTGCCTTGAACAAAATTTCACCAAAATTTACCCCGATAACTCAAATTCTGGTTCTTGTAACCCCATTCGGATGCTATCTTATTAGCTCTTTTTGTTGTATAATTGGTAAAAACACTAAAACTAACCCTAAAGCAATGTGATTTTAAGTGGTGCAACAACCAGATCATGTTTTATTATAAGAATGCATGATCATGTTACTGTTTCTAATGAAATAAGTAAATTTGCATTGTGCTATACCCTTGAGTGCCCCTGCTAACTCGAACTGTTTTTCATTTCCCTAAGAAAGAAACCAATAAAGATCAGAAACAAAGCCCTCCTTAAAGGTACAGTAAGGAGGGCTTTGTTTCTGATCTTTATTCGTTTCTTTCTTAGGACATCATTAATTCCAAAGGCTGGCTTGAAGAGTTTTATCTTTTTAGCATATACAAAAGTAAACTTTCCAGTTACAATCAGAATGAAAACAGCTATCAGCATGGATATTTACAGTGTAACTAGTGAAGGAATTTGCCATAAAAAAATTAGTTATTGTGGTTTCTGTCAACAGATTGATGTAAAAGCAAATTCTGATCTCAAACATGTAAAAGACTCCCTGGCAGCAGAGAAGAAAAAGAAGAAAACACTTCTAAAAAGCTTTGATGATGTGAGTTTATGGTACATGTATTACTGTAATATTATTGGAAATGTATTATTTTGTGTATTTTACAACTCTACCAGAAGCTAAGAGCTGCCTCCCAGCTTACCTTTACCAGCTGAAAGAGAGAACACTCAAAATTTCATTGCTTGTACTTCATAAAAAAGGACCAAGCAATAACTGCATTTAATTTACTTCATTGTTTTGACCCTTCCAAGGATCAATCTCAACTGAAAAACAAAGAAAAAGAAGTAAAGAAGCTAAGTGATCTTCTTGTGAAGCTGGAGCAGACAAGCCAAGCAGACAGCAATGCAGTTCAAGCAGCTCAGGATCATTTCCATGCTGTGTCAGCAGGATTATCCAGTAATGAGGGAGGAGAAGACAAGACACTTGCAGACCAAGTCATGAGTATGTTCACCTGTGCACCTGTATTAAATCTTAATGATAAACTCTAAACTAGAGCAAAATTAATAAAAGTAAGCTTAAAAAAACTTTTTTTTTTTGTCAAGTGACAAAAAATAATCCCCGCCCAACTTCTCTGTTATGCCTTTCACCCAGGGACTGGGTATCGACCACTCCAGAAAATACCATAACATACCATAATGCTCTTTTGTTGACACCCCAAAATTTTGCATAAGCTTTGTTTTCAGTTTCTCTTGGGAGTTAAAATGGCCCCAAGAGAAAATGAAAACAATGATTATGCAAAACTTGGGGGTGACAATTAAACAAAGAGCATTATGGTATGTTATGGTATTTTCTGGAGTGGTCAATTGAAATTTGCCATTTGTTTAAAAAGCTTAAATGTGTGTTTGCATCAGTTGAATTCCAAAAATAATGGCATAGTTTTGTTACTTGAGACTATATTTAGGTTGTTGCAACTGTTCCCTGTTATCTTTCCCTGTGGTTGGTAAGGATTGACATAGATTGAAACTTAAAGAAGTTGGTCCAACGTTTTCAAGTTTTAATTCTATGCCAGCAAAAATCACGTAACAAATTATTATTCTTAGTGATCCTTGATGAAATTTGTTTGACATCTTCGCAACTCTACTGGAGCATTTTGTGTGTGGGTAAAGTAATGACTTCAGCAGAGAATTCAGGGCGTGGTGAGTGAACTTCTATGCAGTGAGGAGGGGGCTATTCAAATTGGTGTGATATGTACCTGGGATTGAGGCTCAGTGCAGGTTTGTCAGCTATAGCTGCAGGGTTCTGTGTGCTATGCTGTAGATGGCTATTCACTGATTTCCCAGACTCTTGTGTCAGAACAAGTATTGCAACTTTTACACCCTCTTCTCTTGATCCACAGCATACAAGAATGAAATCAGCTCTGCCGAGACTGAATCCAAACAGGCTCAGATGAAGTAAGTCAGCTTTGTCCATTTTGACAGTCCAAGACCGGATTTCCTGTCTTCAAAATCACAGATTTTGGGGTGCAAAGTTTGTTTTACAGCTTGTTTTGGGGGCAAGCTGTAGCTAGCATGTACCAGCCCAAGGGTTAAAATTTTTGATTAGCAGAATTGATTACAGTTTTTCTGTAATTTGAATTCCCCAAAGAAACTTCACTTGCCTGTTACACCATAGGTAAGTTAAGAACAGAATTTCTAGCCCAATAGCAAAACCCACTAGCCTCAGCCCCAGACACGACTTTCTCTTCGTGCCGGATGTCATTGCGTTATTAATTGATTGATTGATTGATTACAGATGTAGTAAATTATGATGGTGTATTTGACTAATTGAAGGTGACTGGAATAAAGTCTCAAGTGATTTCCTATAAACCACTTAATTCTTGCTCTAAATTGTCAGGTGTTTTTTTTATAAAATGAAGGGAGAATTCAACATTTTGTCAGAGTCACTCCCAAAGCTACACATACAGGGTGCAAAGAAAATCCTTTTTCAGCTTGCCATTCGGGCAAGCTGAAGCTAGCATTTACTAGCCCAGACTTCATTTCAGCTAGCCCAAAAGCTTTTCGTGGAGCAGAATTAATTTCACACTTCTTCTGTTATTCGAATTCCTCAAAGAACATCACTTGCCCGTCGGGCAAGTTAAAAACAGATTTCACGAGCCCGATAGCAAAATCCACTAGTCCCGGGCTATTGGACACTACTTTCTTTGCACGCTGACATAGAAGAACCTGTACCCCTTCATTGAAGACCCTAATATAGAAAGCAATGCTCCTCAGGAGGGCTCTATCACTGATACACTACAATATAATTTTGTTTTGTCAAGCGATCATCTTTATACTTTCCTTCCACAACCCCACCCCCCCTTCCCCCCTTTTAGACCCAGGTGGACAGTTAGGGGAGGAAACAAAGCGCGGGACTGGGGAGAGACAGGTTTGATGCTCACTGCATTTTAATCTCTTTGAAAGTCCAATTTTTAAGGGAGAAGACTATCGTTTTGCAGTTTAACCCAGCCATTTTATGTGCAGATTTGTCCTAATCTACAATGTAGTTTTTCATATTGGATAACTTGAACTATTTTCTCTTTTCTCAGATTGAAGCATGCACAGTCAGAGTTAAAGAAAAAGCAGTCAGAGCTGAAAAACACCGAGAAAAGTTACAAGAAAGACAAGGATGTTTATGATGCAATTGAAAAGAGTAAAACTAAACTTGAGGTAAGTGAAATGTCTGATGACCTCTTGCTTTGTAGATTCTTATCATCCTCTGTGGCTCTATTTTTGGAGATATCAATGTAACATGATTGAAAAACAATTAAGATTGTTATATAGCTGGAAATTTTTCCCAACAGCGCGTGCTTTCATTGGTTACTTTGAGTTGACATGACATTCTATTAATGAAACTGTTTCCCGCCAAAATCTCTGAGCGAGCAACATTGCAAAATCTATGATGTCAGAGGGTAACAGTGCACTGTTTCTTAGGTCAGTTTGGCTGGCAAGTAAAAACAATAATACTTTTGATATTGCAGTAACTTAATTTTGCCTTTTTCCAAAGGATGAAATGAGAAAGCTTAATTATGAGGAAGGAAAAGAGGAAATGCTTACTGCAAAAAGGTGTGTGGTGACTGTTTAATTGTTTCATGTGTAACCTACGTGTCCCATAACAAGTGTCTTTTAGTGATTGCTACTAAATCTACTGACTCCCAGAAATTGCCAGAAAATCACTGACTTGTGGTTGCCACAGTATCAGTGATTTTATTACATTCGACTTCCGATAACTCGAACCTTCAAGGGAAATCGAAAAACGTTCGAGTTATCGGGAGTTCGAAGAAAATAGCCGGGAGTAAGAAAAAAAAACAGTTCTTACTGCAAAGTGAATATTTTAATCACGTTTAATTGTAGAGCTTTGTAGAAATGTCGAGCGAAAATTAAAAGATACTTCTAGATTGTAAATCAGAACGTAACGTATCAAAACATAGCCTAAGTGGAGCATGCGAATGTGAACATTGGTGACGTTGTTTAAGTTTTTATTTAGCTAATGCAGTTAATCAAGGTCAGAAAAACTTATTTAGAGGTCGTAAGAAATGTACTATTTCTTGTCGTTTCAGGCGTGAGTTGGAGGCTGAAGTTTCGAATCTGAGAGAGAAAGTGGAAACTCTTGAGGCCAAGTATGTGCTACGACACTTTTTCTAAATTGCCATCCAGGAAAAAATACGTTGAATGGTACACATGTAGAATGTGAAAATTCGGCCATCACATTTCATTTTTCCATTTACAAAGGGTGTCCTTTGCATCTTTATTGTCAAGTTTAGTTTGCGCTCTGAAAATGGCTATTCCTTTTTATCCTTAGGTTTCCAAACCTTCAGTTTGAATATAACGACCCAGAGGCAAATTTCAATCGCAGTAAGGTCAGTTGCTGTTTATCAGCGTAAGGTACTGGTGCTTTCTCAGTTCAGGGAGCGGTACAGTTAAATTGTAGGAGGTGGTTTGCTGTAATAGACTGATTCGAGAGCTAAAGTAGACTTTGTTTTATTTATTTAATTAAAAAAAGCTTTTCATCAACAGTAAACTGTCAAACTAGTGGAGACCACCGTTTTTGATTCCCGAAGTAGCTGCGAGAGCTTTGACTGTATTACAAACTCGTGTGTACATACTGGCTTGCTTATGCAGTCGACTCCCGATAACTCGAATCAAAATCGATTTTCCTTGGATTTCCTTCATTCATTACTGCTTTTTACCCTCGATTACTCGAACCTCCCGCTAACTCGAAGTAATTTTTGTTTTCCTTCAGATCAGTTCTATACAATTTTACTCTCGAAAATTCGAATCATGTTTTAGGCGCGTGAAACTTCGAAAAGAACGCAGTGAACTGCAGTCCAAAACATTGAATTTCTCTCAAAACGATAGTGTTTTCTTTTTCTTTAAGATTCTTTACTTTTTTGTCCGAGTCCAATTCAAATACAATGTTTAGCGCTGTACTCACTAATCAAAGCTTCGTTGCTCGACTTCTTTTTCAAAATATCACTATATCTCTTGCTGCCTTTGGAGAGAAGTGTACATGATACATGTACTTGCATTCCTCCCCCATCTCATTCAGTCCTTAGTTTTGGTTATTTGCTTCGAACTCCTGATAACTCAAACTGTTTTCGATGATTTCCCTTGAAGATTCGAGTTATCGGGAGTCGACTGTAAATGTCAATTCAAAGGGCTTGAAACAGTGTGTACGTGTATGTCCATTGCACAGGTCAAAGGTTTAGTGGCCCAGCTTATTCAAGTCAAAGATGTGTCAACTGCTACTGGACTGGAGGTTACTGCTGGTGCAAAGGTAAATACATTGGTATTAAGAATGGGATATCATTAAACAATCAATCCCGGCTAGCATGACAGATTTATCTGACTGCGCACTGAGTGTGACATTATTGACTTCATGATTCATGAATATGTTTCTTACAGTTTCCGGCCCTATAAAGGCCATTTTAGCAAGTTTTAATGTTTTGGTCTCTCACCTACTACGAAGAAGACTAGGGAAAACTCGGCTGTGCTATGCGTCCAGAGGAAAAAGCGCAAAATTATCTTCATTCTCCTTCAATCGCTCCAAAACTTCGCTTGAGCTTAGACCAAAGATTTCACTTCCTTGAAAATGTCAATTTAGTTCCAAACATCAAGTCATGACCTCAAGACGACGAGAAATGTGGCAAAAAAAATTGACCTTAGCCCTTCCTTGGATTGGTTCTTCATCGTACTGTAGCTACCGATGGCCGTTGCTCTTGGCTTAGTGGCCACGCATTGTTGCGCTACGCTTCGGCGATCACGGAACAAAAGAAATGTTGGGAGTTGTTGGCTGAAAAGTTTGACCGGTTTCAAACTTTGCGCAACAACATGCAACAGGGTGTGCAAACGGACGCAACATGTAACATCCAACAATGTTGGGAGTTGTTGGCCAACAATGTTGCGTCCGTTTGCACGGGGCTTTAGAATCTAAAGGGCTCTAATTTTATTTTCAGCTCTATAACGTGGTGGTCGATACAGAGGTAACTGGGAAAAAGTTGATAAGTAATGGCAAGCTCAAACGCCGTTATACGTTCATTCCATTGAATAAAATAGCCTCCAGAACTCTTTCTGGCGATGTTGTTAAAAGAGCTGAAGGTTTGGTGAGTTGTCCTTACTTTGTTACATAGTTATGCAGAGCTGTAAATAATTTTTCCTTCTTAAAAGGACATATGTCATCCTTTTGATCGGACCTAGTCAATGAGTGATGTATGCATGCATGCAGTAGGCGTCTTCAACAATAATTGAGCATTGTAAGCGCAACATTCGTAGGTAGATTGATTCCTGCCATCGACCGTAAAATTCGGAAAATAAGCCCCTCCAAATATAAGCCCCCAAACTCGTAAAGCAAAAAACCCTCCGATAAATCGCCTCTCCAAATACACACCCCTAGGGGCTTGTACTCGGAAATTGCCCTCAAATTAAAAATAAAACAAAGCAAAAACTGTACAGTAACACATAAATTTTTTCCATTTGCAAAAGAACTATTACGTGTGCCCAATGATTAAAGTCAAAAAGTGTCACAGTATATTGCTGTTTGTATAGTTCACTCTTCAGTCTTAGCTTGGATTTCCTCGGTCCACATAGACAAGTACTTGCAAAGGCGAGTTTCAGTAAAAAATTGTTGCAAAGTACTAACATAAATTCCCTTCCAACTATAAGCTAGCCCAATGGATTTTGAGACGAATATTTCCCTCCCAGTATGAGCCTAGGCGATTTTGAAACGCAAATTTCCCGCCACATATAAGCCCCTCCAAAAATGTGCCCCTCATAAAGGACCTTTGAAAAATTTAAGCCCCGGAGCTTATTTTTGGAATTATATGGTATCTTATTCAAAAAATAAATATCATTTCGTTGTTTATAATTGCCATGACTAATATCAAAGAGCGTGGAACGTGCTCTTTGCTTCAGCAACCTCCTTCTACTCCATGACTTGATTTTCCAATAAGTTTAACTTTTTGTTTAAAGCTTTTTACATTAATTCTCAAGGCAGTAAAACTTGTTTCTTGCTAGGTTGGCAAAGATAATGTCTACCTCGCTCTTTCCCTTGTTGGCTATGATGAGGAAATCAAGGCTGCTATGGCTTATGTCTTTGGTACCACCTTTGTGTGTGACAACATGGACAACGCCAAAAAGGTTGAAATCAAAAGCGTTTTTAATATTCTACCTTTGTACAGTGTAGGTCAAAAGTCTTGGAACGCTTAACTCCCTCGTCCGCGAGTAATGTTGTATTTCGTGTACCCTGTACACTTCATCATCATCATCATCATCATCATCATCATCATCCGTCGACCACTGGAAAGGATGGCGCATTCATAGAGATCTCCTCCCAAACACCACAATTCGCCATCGCACACTTAACCCTGTCCTGAAAAGTTTTTGTTTTCATGACGACGGCGACGACAACGAGAGCGTCAAAAAAGCAATAGGTTGAATAGGCAAAAACAACAACTCTGCACGTGCATCACGCTTTTTTGTACATTTCTTTAACGTCACTGCACGACTGCGACGGGAAAATGCCTAATTTCACGTTTTATGAAGAACATAACCAAGCGACGGCTAAATAATCTTTCTCTTTCTGAAGTTGAATATGTTTCTTTGGAATTCAGCTCAAAGTAAATGAGTTGGAGTAATCGTAATAGAGATTGAAAGAACCCAAAGTCACTTTTTGAGCGACGTTTTCGTGCCCGTCGCTGTCGTGGTATCCTAAACACCCTATTGTTTAGATGGGGAGGAGGGGAGGACGGTTGGAGACATCCATCATTAATCTTTCACAAGATTCATGGGGCCTTCCAGTTCCTTTGTGACCAAGGGACAACTCGTCAAAACCACGGCATTTTCGTGCACAAACGTTTACAACAAGAAAGGGAGAGATCCTGCGCGGCTATTCTTGCCCGCTTCTGATTGCCTAGAAAAATGTTATTCGTTCTTTAAGTGTAGCTTGTAGCGTTATCTTTTGTTTCTGGTTGTAAACTTTCGCCCACGAAAATGCCATCGTTCCCTCTAGCTAACCGTCCGGCTGGCCTTAGGTCCCCTAGCATGCTTACATTTATGTCCTGGAACGTCTGCCACAGTGAATTGAAACCTGTTTTGAGAGGTTACGCTTGCCACAAAGCTGGTCAAGAGTTCAGTGGATAGCTTTATCTACTGATAAAGCTTTTTCCATTAGATATCATAGTTGTTGAGGATTCCTCAATACTTAACCACTGGATATTGATTTGCCGGTCCGTTTGTTTATTTATTATGTTTTGCCTGATGATCTACCTTTTGCAAGTGTTCAGATGTATTTAACAAGGCTGATTGCTGTAAGCGCTCGATTTCGACGATTTTACGGGGAAAAGGGGACTATAAATTAAATGCACTTCTATGGTACCCTTTTAAAAAAGGACCACGATTTTGTAGAGGCCAAGGCTGTTAAAAAGTAGCTTATTGGAGTCTAGGAAAAGGTGGCGGCTGTCACTTAACAGAGGCGACAGATGTCAGTTTCAGTAATTAAGGGAAAAGATTTTAAGCTGCTGAACAACTTTTTTTTTCTGCTCATTGTTGTTGTTGTTGTTGTTGTTACGCAGGTTACTTATGACCCTAAAGTTCAGGCCAGGACAGTGACGCTGGGTGGAGACCTGTTTGATCCCCAGGGAACCGCTACCGGGGGTAAGTGAGAGTGCCAGGTAATTGTCACAAAGAGCGATGACTTGATTCATTTATTACGAATCCCGTGACATTGCTAATATTATAACCGTCAGAAAAATTGCTCTTTAAAAATGGCAAGATTAACAAACTTCTCAGCGATCAAACTACCCGAAACCTACGCCGCACGAACGATGTTGAGAACTACTGCGCATACTTAACTAGACCGACCACTAATCAGCACTGTTGGCGCAATTTGATCTGATTTCCTATCAAATGCATTTATATTGAAAATGCATTTGAGTAAAAATGTATTCTAATTTGTTCTTTGCTATACAAAATAAAGTAAACCACTGATAAGTTCTCGAAGCATGCCGTACCTCACTGATAATTTACCTGTATGCATAACCGTGAATTCCTGGGCAAATGCCCCAAAGTTAGGAAAGTAGCGCAAGATTTTTCACCCGGCTTCACAGCGGTCATACGAGAAAAATTTGCAGAAGCTAAGTAAAGTACTTCAAGCTAAGGTTGCTAATTTCACCGTCTAACGTTTATGATATTACCAAGACGCTGTTAGTTATTTTTAAACTTTTAGAAAGCTACTGAAAAAAGTTAAAATTGTTTCAAAAGTGAAACTGGAGTTATCGTCGTTATCGTTGAACCGAGTGATAAGATATTTTATATGAAAAAAAGTTTTGTCTTTCTTGGTATAAATTAACCTGTAGACTCGTGTTTTTCTGTTCCAGGAGCTCGATCAACGCATACGTCAATTTTGGTCAAGTTACAAGAATTGAATGAAGCCCAATCTTTGCTTCAGTCAAAGAACGCTGAATTAAAACAAGTTATCAAAGAACTGGACTCTTGCAAGAAAGTGGCAGACAAGTAAGACGGAAGAATTCAAAATACGTCTAGCTGTGTGGTCTACTTAACCCTTTAAACCCTAAGATCAAAATTAAAATACTCATTTGTCGGCCCTATTATTTTACTATAGGAGTAGTGGGGAGAAGTTGATAAAACATCAAGCAAATACATCTTGTGTGATCATGTCCTTAATTCTCATGACCACTCTGTTTTACAACGTATTGATATTACAAGGAGAAATTTGATGCTGATCACTCTTAGGGCTTAAAGGGTTAATTGAAAATCCTAACCCACAAAGTGGTCTCATGAAAGAGGGCTCTTCCCTTAGCTGCCCTTTCTGTTTACCTGGAGGTTTAAAAACAAAAATATGACAGTACTGAATCACACGCTGAAAGAGCCCAGCACGAAGGAAAACTAAACGCTCCAGTGAATCACATGATCGATGTAGCCATCTACTAGGCATGCGCATACCAAAGTTCGCCGACCTCGGGCACTTAAGGCGCTCTTAGTTGTTTTACTCCTTTAAACTGCATTTAAATGCATCATGCATCAAGTTGGCTTTTTATAAAATCTTCATGGATGCCCCCCACCCCCCCGCTGAGCTTCACGAGGTTCTGCGGTACACATATTTGTAGTTTAAAATGTTTGAAATCGCCCATATTTTTCCTGTCCCAGATTTCGGCAAATAAAACAACAGTATGATCTGAAAGTTCATGAAGCAGAACTTGTGCAGGCTCGATTGAAACAGAGTACTCATCACCATCAGCTGGAAGAGATAGAGACAATGCAGAAAACAGTCGGTAAGTCATCTGATATCTAAGGGCCTGTTTATATGTTACCTCACATACCTGGGGTCTCCCACCTCCATGTAAACAGGCTATAAATCAGTTATTTAACAATTATTGGATGAGGCTGAGTTTGATGTGAAGAATTATTCAGATCAAAGAGAATGTTGTCGGCCTCGGTGGATAACATTCTCCGGGATCTGCATTATTCTTCACATCATACGAAAGCTAAATTAAAAACAAATTGTTTTACATTGTATTTTTCCTCGTAGACTTTCTTCAAAACTTTGGCCTATTTGAATTTTCTCGGCACGTTTTCGGAAAATAAACAGATGTCTTGTCTTGCAGATACCTCTCAAAAAGCAGATAACCTTCATCAAACAACACGTATTCTTGGTGGCATTTCTTCCATTCAGTTTTAGTCAAAATTTCAGCTATTCCGTCTTCGAAAGCGAAAGCCTTGAAAACCGTTTTTGTTAGTTAACTATTCCCCAAGCAGCCTCGTTTCCAGGTCAACTTACCATCGATCAACCTCGTTTCCAATCAAATATACCGTCGAATCGATGGTTAATTGCTCACATCTTCTAAATATGGTAAGTGCCAGTTGGTTATGAAGAATTAGTCGGGGGACTGGAGCCAATCAGAAACGGCGATTTTTTTTTTGGAAGAATAATAACTGTTACTTGCGTGGTTTTTGTGATCGTCACTAAAAATTACTGTGTGGAAGGTGGAGTTTGGCGGAATTTTTTGCCAAGCAAAATCGTGGTCACACATGGTTTGCCGTATTCTTTCCTCTGCCTTGTCCGATTGCGTAAGGTGTTGTGGTGAAGTGTTGCTATTTTTTTTGATTGGCTGAAAAAGTCGTGCCACCTTGTCGGCCAATCAAATGTTAAGGTAAAACCCAATAGTTTCTTGCGCTCATGCTTCTTCCCGCGTTTTTTCCCCGCGCTTTGGCGTTAGCTACTTAAGGACTTTCAGCCCAATATACCACTCAATGGTTTTGTATGTTTGGTAGTTATCAGTAAATTTTAGTAAATTGGGACTTCATCCTCGCTGCAAAGTGGAGGGATAATCCACAGTAGAACCAGAGTCTGAATCTTTCCTGTTTTCTTTGCAGAGGAACAACAGGAGCTGATGACGAAAGCAAAGGAAACAATTGCATCCGCGACTGAGAAATGCAAAGATGTCGAAATCAAAATGAAGGTTGGTTTATCACCAGGGGTCGTACTCATCTTGAAAACCCTTGAATTTTTAGAGTCTTTGAAAATTTCCTTTATTCATTTTGGTCCTTGAAAGTCCTTGAAAAAACAAGTACATTGAGGAAATGAAAGTCAGGTATGGACAGCCTGTGATGCAAAAGGCTGAGGTCTAGAATGGTTACCAGTGCCGTTGCATCATTCTTTCATGCATGTACTTTGTAGGCGATACTAATTGTGCTTGACGAAGATATTCGTAGTTTATTTGGAACCTACAATCGGTGACAAAATTGTTGCCGATGTTTCTTGTTACAGGAAGCAAAAACTCATCGCGAGAAGGAACTGAAAAAGGCAGAGGAAGATTTAAATAAAGCAAAGAAAAAAGCAGAGGAATCCACCAAAAGCATGAAAGGGAAACAGCAGGTAGTTAATTGAGATTAACTATGAATAGCATTCTCCTATTAATTCCTCTACGCAGCTTACTGTCAAATATTAGCGGTGTAAAAATTGTCCCCCTTGGCTATTGTTTGGTATAACGAGCGAAGGCTTGCTCGTCGCGGATTTTTATCATTATAGCAATGGTGCGTGGCTTTTGTCTGGTTTAGCGTGAGCGAAAGGGTCGTAATCCTCTCTAACATCACAGTCTTCTGACAAGTAGAAGAAACAAGACTATAAACCCAGCCTCGTACCCAGGCCTGTTCGCGCTATTCGAGTGACCAGAGGAGGCTTGGAACCGAGCGCGATTGCGCGGCGAATTTTCCTGACAAGCTTGACAGGTGACGTCATATCCTAAATCGCCAAGAACTACTGGGAACGAGGCTGCTATAAACCCTCTTTTATATCAAGGCTACCTTTATAAGAGGAAATAGTGCCAGTAAAGTTTGTCGTGAATCAAGCAAATTGTGAACTCTCAAACAGTTTGTTTTTGATCCATGTATAGGAAGTAGAAGAAATGAAACTCTTAATGGAAGAGCTGAACAACGAGGTTTCCAACGTTGAGCAGCAGGTAAACTGAAGTTGAAATGCGAACGATACATTTTACCACGATACGATACAGATCGCGATACTAGGACCAAAATACAATACACCACCTACCCGAACCACTCTGGGCGAGTGAACTTTTTATACATTTCCTTACAAAACGTGGCGAACCGTTTACGTTAGAAACAGAACGTTGGCTGAGCTAGAAGAGTGACCCGTCTAGCCGGGTCACCCTTTTCTGATGGTAGGGTCACCCTCCTAGCTGCGGGCCAACTTTTCTCCGTGGCTCGCCAAGCCGGGTTAACCCAGTCAAGGCGAGACAATCAGAGCACGAGCGAGCGCAATTTAGGCAAAAAGAGCGTGCGCAAGTGCTGTTTACTTCGGCAAAGGGGTCAGTTTTTTTTTCACATATAATCACTCTCTGAAGTTGACTCGACGGGAGAGTGACCTTTCTACCTGGGACATCTCTCTTCACATATACGAGGCCCCAGTCGCGTGGTACAAATTCACGTTTCCGTTTTTCCGTGAAGGTCATTCTAAATCCCTCTGATGAAAGGATTTTATATTGCAGATGAAAGCTATCGACGAAGCGCTGGAAAAAGCAGAAGAACAAGTCGCAAGATATACCGAGGCTGCCAAGGAAACGAAGGTACTACAGTTTGGCTTATAAAAGTATGTTGATAATGCGATGTATGAATTCACAATGTGCCTTAAAAGCAATTTTTTAACGACCTATATAAGATAACATGACCTTTAACTGGTGTTGAAAACTGAGGCAAACGCGTGTAGCTTTGAGTGGTTTAACAAACAGAGGCAAACGCGCAGCTTTTGGTTGGTTTTAGGGAACCGACGTTAACGCGTGCTGCTTTAGTTGGTGTAAACGTAGTCGAACACATGCGGCTTTTGGCTGCTTCAGCGAACGGAAGCAAAATGAAACACGCGGGGCTTTTCTTAAATGTGTGAACTTGCGTTGTGGACCGTTGGACTGACGCAGACAGCCAGCTTACATTTATACGCTTCCCTCGCTGTCTTGCAGAAAGCAGTTCAAGAGGCAGCTGACGAATTGAATAAACAAAAGGAAGCTCTGAAGGCCTGTAATGAGGTATGATATTTAATTGCGTTTATCTGTTTAAGGAGCTACCGGCCCAGGGGGGGGGTTACTTTAGGAATTTTGGGGTGGGGATGTGCCGCGGGGACCCTAGGACCCTGGAACCCTTAGCCTATACTGGGGCTAATTCAAGTGAATTTTGTTACCCTATACTAGACTTAACTCCCCAAATCCTCCCCAAATTCACTTGCGTTTATCTGTTTAAGGAGCTACCGGCCGGGGGGGAGGGGTTACTTTAGGAACTTTTGGGTGGGGATGTGCCGCTGGGACCCTAGGACCTTGACACCCTTAGCCTATACTAGAGCTAGTTCAAGTGAATGTTGTTACCCTATACTAGAATAAACTCCCCCAACCTCCCCTCAAAAACCCTCAATCACGGTCGTTTTGTATTGTATAAATAGGCGATCAGCGAGAAGGTGACAGAGCAGCGAGATTTGCAGAAGCAAGGTCAAGATATTCAACTGCAACTGAAAGAGATGGATCATAAGGTGAACAAGTTTCATAAAGACAGCAAAGACGCAGCCACCAAGGTAGGCTATTCTCTTAACCGCATTTCAAGTTCAAGGACTTTGCAGTGGGGTCTAAACTGGCGGGTGAATGACATAAAAACAGAGTCGCCATGGTCAGGAAAAAATTGAAACGTGTTCGAGTACCAGGAGAAAGTCAGTGTATGTTGCAAAAGAGACTCAGAAATTGTCAGAAAAACTCAAACAGTCGAACCTCCGCTAACGTCCACATCTCCATAATGGGCACTTTTTCAATAATAATAATAATAATAATAATAATATTTATAGAGGGAGCCCAACTCGCCAAGGCGGTTTTCAGTGGGCTCTCATGCATTAATTTAACTAATTAATTAATTTTTACTTTTGTCGGACATTCCATGCATTGACTCTTGTTTAAACCTCTCTGCAACGAGCCACATTCTTCTGTCCCCAAGGTGGCTGTTTTGGAGAGGTTCAACTGAAATTCTTGCCAAAAACGGTGAAAAGTGTTGCCATATGCTTTCGTGAAGATTATAAATATGAACATTTTGTTTCGGAAAAATACTGTGCAGTCAGTCCATTTTGAAACTCCACTTTCCGTAAAGAAAAATCCGAAATCATTCCAAAAGAAACATAAAATTCCAAGTGTAAGTGACCGAAAATGGAGAGAAGAATAATGATGGTCTTTGGCTGAAGAAGATTGGAAATGCAAGGTCAGTGATAATTATTTAGAGGTCATTTCAAAGTCAGGGAGTCACGTTTATTTATTTATTTATTATTTCTATTTTTTTGATGAGTCACAACCCTGTCAAAAATTCTCCTGTGTCCTCAGGTTGAGCAGATGTTGGAAAAGTACGAATGGATCTCGAATGAAAGGCAGTTCTTTGGTCAACCGAACACGGCGTACGATTTTGCTGCTAACGACATGAAAGAGGTGTCGAGACGACTGAGCAAGCTACAGGAAACTAAGGAGAAATTAGGGAAAAATGTCAACATGAGGGCAATGAACATGCTTGGCAAAGCTGAAGAAAAGGTAAGGCAGTCAAAAAAGCGATGGATAGCCTGCGTAGCTGGCGGTATTGTGTAGTAGTCAAGTGAGAGCGGCGAAAGCCGGGAGAAATAGAAATACCGCCTGCCAGAGAACCATGATTTTTCGAATGCCGCCTACTTTTATCACCTCAACTTAGCGGATCTCTTGGGCAATAGATGTTCATTTCTAAGAGTTCAAAATGGCAGGGTTTGTAATTTGCGATTGGTGGATTTCGATCCGTTTTTATTTCAAGGTTCCTTGCTTGTGAGCGTCCTGTTTCGGGCAATTATCGACTTGTTTGCTGCGGTTTTTGCGATCTGTTTTAACACGAAATGTTGTCCTCGGCGTCACTTGTAACAATAAAGCAAAGTCTGCCTCCTTCCCTCGACAAAAAATACCATCGCGATTTCCTTCGCTACTGAGAAGTCAAGAGTTATCCTCAGTTTTTGCTTTTGCCGAACCCTGTGGGCAAAATTGCCATAACATCACGTCCAGCAAACAGCTCCTTCACAGCCGTTTCCTGCTTCCTCTTAAGATTTAATGCTTCTCTCTGTTCACATTAAGACGCTCTAAAGCTTTATCGATACTTAATTCAGCCGAGTCCGCCATTTTTTCCCTTACAGTTTGTAATCTGCTCCCTTGGGAAATATGCGAAGGATCATCTAACGTGATTGACATATGTATGGCCCTCGACCAATCCGTTTTCTCCGCACACTGTGCGGACTATTCAAAATACCGGGGTTTTCTGGCAGGCAGTATTTCAAAGACCTCGTCCCCACTCCCGTTTTTTGAATCACGGCTCCGCCTCCAAAACTTTAATCAAAACGACAGAAAAAAAATGAAAACTTTAATAAAACGACGTTTGTGACATCTATGTCATAAACTTGTCAATCTTGTTTCCTCTCGTCGAACTGAAATTTTGTGTGCGGGCATCCGTTTATTGAGAAACCGATGTTCATAACAGAGCCCGCTTTACCAAGCGCACGGTTACTAGGCCTGGGTTCGAAATGTATCCTAGCAACATGCCGCGCATGCGCAACAAAGATCTTCCTCGATTCTTGCAGAGTCTTTCTCGAGCGCGCCAAAATCGAGGACACGAAAGAAAGGCTCTGCTGCCACACCAGGAAGTCAAGCTAAGCTTCGTTAGCATCAGATGGGCTGTAAAGGCCCAAAAAACCTTTAGCAACTCAGCACGTTTACATGTTTTTATTTGAGACCAGGAAAATACAGTTTGATATTTGTTTGTTTTCGGAAGGACCCTGTCTCTTAAAGCTCTTCTGAAGCAAAGGGTATTAGATTGGGATCAGGTTAGGTTTCTGGAACTACCCACCTACCGAGAAGTAAGTGTTAATGTGTTAATGTGGGCTTAGGGGAGGGGTAGGTGGGCAGTTTCCCAGAAACCTTAATTGGTCCGTAGATTGTTTATTTGTTTGAAGTACATTGTACTTCGCTTGATATGTTTACCAACTCATAGTATTTTTTTTTCTGTAGTACAACGATTTGATGAAAAAGAAGCGAATCGTCCTAAATGACAAAGAAAAGATCGCTTCTGTTATCAGAGAACTTGATGAGAAGAAAAATGAAGCCCTGAGAAACGCTTGGAAGAAAGTTAACAAGGTCAGACTATTCATCATTTATCCAGTGTGAACACAACACCATTTTTTTCCGCTTCCTTTCCCTGGCACTAGCTCTCGTGCACTAAGTGTGAACACAGCCTCGACACTTGTGATATAATCTGACCTTGTTTTCATTGTATCTGTAGGATTTTGGCTCAATATTCTCTACTCTTCTGTAATTGTGAACACAGCCTCAACACATGTGATATAATCTGACCCTGTTTTCATTGTATCTGTAGGATTTTGGCTCAATATTCTCCACTCTTCTGCCCGGAACCACAGCCAAGCTGGCTCCACCTGAAGGGCAAACAGAACTGGACGGCTTAGAGGTGAAAGTCGCCTTCGGCAACGTGTGGAAGGAGAGTCTTAGTGAACTCAGTGGCGGTCAAAGGTAATGAGCTTTATTTCTCTGAGGGCAAACCTCGCTAATAAATGTTTAATGATAAAAAATAAGTTTAAAAAAATGAATGCAGTCAAACCTCCACTTAGGGCCAACTCTCACAACGGCCTTTTTTTCGAGGGGGGAGGGGGGGGGCAGTCCATGCATTGAGTCTTGTTTAGACCTCTCTACAACGGCCACTTTCTTTTGTCGCCAAGGAGACCGTTATGGAGAGGTTCAACTGCAAAATAAAGAAAGAATAAGATTTTCTTTAAAAAAAGTATGCTTATACTTAATTGGTTGCTTTTAAGCCCCTTCAGTTATAGGCCGATCTTCCCGTTAACAAAACAATACATCAGATGATAAGCCCTCTCCCCCCGGATTTAAGCCCCTTTCTAGCTTGTATTACTATGAATTCGTTTTATTATGGGCCACGCACGTGTACAAAACTTCGCCGCCCGTGTGTTGACTAACACCAAGAAGTTTGATCACATCTCACCAGTGCTGCGTGCATTGTGTTGGCCTTCTGTTAAGAATCAGTTACTAGTGCGTGATGTTACGATGCTATACAAAATAGTTAATGGCCTTGCACCACCATATTTAGAGTGTTACGTCAACAAAAGATCAGCTATCCACAGCTACAATACTAGATCTAGGGACAATTTAGTCGTACCGCTTTGTAGGACAGCCACAGCACAGAGGTCCTTTAGTTACAGAGCAATCACTGCTTGGAATTCTCTTATAAGTGAAGAAACAAAAAATAGCGCAACACTCTCAGTTTTTAAGCGCGCAGTAAAGCGCGAAATATATAATAGTTCGTAGTAAATTTTTTAGGTTTAGCATTTTTAGAATAGGTTAATTTATTTATTTGAATTAGTTTTTTTTTTTTTTTTTTTTTTTTTTATCATGATATTATTGTAATTTTTAGAAGTCGTTTTTATTCGATTTCCAATTATTGTAAATTAAATCGGAAGAGCCACTGGCTGGAGATTTAATAAATTTACTACTACTACTACTGTAGGTCCCAACATTGTTGGTAGTTGTTGCATCAGTTGTACACCACTGCCAACTCAGACGCAACATTATTTGCCCAATATTTGCTCGTAGCTTAATACTCCAGATGTGTGAAGACTCAATAAACAACCGATCTCTTTCAGGTCTCTGGTAGCGCTCTCTCTCATTCTCTCCATGCTACTCTTTAAACCCGCTCCATTGTACATCCTCGATGAAGTAGATGCCGCCCTGGATCTCTCCCACACACAGAACATCGGCCAGATGCTCAGAGCACACTTCAAGCATTCGCAGTTCATTGTGGTTTCCCTCAAAGACGGGATGTTCAACAACGCTAACGTTCTTTTCAAAACAAAGTTCGTCGATGGCGTGTCGACTGTCACCCGATATGCTCAGAACCAGCCTTCTCGGGATGGTGATGGCCCAGGGCCACTGGGACGAGCAGGGAAAAGCACTGCGAAAAAGAAGGATGATCGAGGCAAAAGACCGAGAATTGAGGCTCCATCCCAGCCCCTCACGCCAACACAAGGCTGAAGCATGGGGATAGAAAATGGGTAGCCTGTGCCCTACTGCAATTGTGAATAGCCTCTTTTCATTACGGCTCTGAACAAGCACTTATTGTACATGGTAACACTTGTCTTATTCAGTGCACATGCTCACTTGAACTACTTTGCGCGCTTGTATTTTTGTTTGTTTGTTTGTTTTTTCACTTTGGTAAAGAAAATATATCCCATGAAGCCTTGGCCTTTTGGAGACACGAAAAATAACGGTAACCGTCGGAAAAAACGACAAGAAACTGGGTTCTGCTTGCTAATGATGTGCTCGCTGTAGATTTTCCGTCTGTGATCTTCAACGCGCCGCAAAAACCGTCAGCCATAAAAGCGACTCTTTTATACCCTTTCATAGCCGCTTATGGCACTTGAGGGAGAAAGCCTTTGTTTCGGTTTGTACGCTTACAAACCATTGAAATTACCGAAACGCTAATTGATTTTGAAAGGCGTTATTTTGATTTTTGAGACTGTGTGAATTAGCAAAACGCTTGTGACATTTGATTTGATTTTCACCGAGGCATTTTCGTACTCCCTTGGTGGCTGAAAAACTATGGTTTAGTCCGGTATTCTCTGAGAAAATTAATATTAACGTACCGTTTATCTGAATACGTTGGGCTGAGTTTTTGTGTTGTAAGAAGTGTATAGTTATCTACTGTATGATTATAACAAAGTATTTTTCATCATTCGTTTTCCGTTCCTCATTCAGTCGAGGGCTTGTTACTTGTATATAATGGCAAGCACTTTCATTGTTTAAACTATGACAGCTGTCTTTGAGTAAACAAAGGGTTGCGACAGAAAGTAATTCTCTGTTGTAAAGTACAAAACAAACTAGAAACTACAACAAACAACATTTCCAGTCCCCTTTACTGTTGCCGTGGTAACGCGGATGATTGACACTCTTATTGTGTAAACAACATTCTTTGCATCTTATATTTTAATACATTCAAGCTCTTTACAAGTACCATTAAGATACGATAAGAACGAGTGTATTAGAGTGAATGCAATAAATAACACACTGTACATTTTACAATTTATACTCTTACGAAAGGATACTAGCGAGGCCGCGTTTTAATTTTATCACATAAACCTTGTATCATCACCTAAACATGAATTTACCGTACTGAAAATGCGCAGCTTCATAGATGTTCTTAAAATTCTGCACCTTTGTTCAAAGTCTAGGAGGTAAATGCAGCTTTCCTTTGGTTAGAGCAAGTTATTATTTGTAATAAATAATTATTAGAACGAGTGGCCTGCAATTCCAATCACTGACCAGAATAATGGCCTGCTGGTTGTCGAACAGTGGAAAGATACCTGAAATCGGATACTTCCTTTGATGCTTGGCCATCTTTAAATTAATGATCGAGCGCGGACGTTCCCTTAAAATTAAGAGGGGCGCCCTCAGAATTTCTAATAAGCGAAACATCCTGGGAATGCGGTTAGGTTCGAACACCCTTTCATTGCCAGGCTTGACTCAAATAACGCGAGAAATTTTCGCGTTACATGTAGTTAAATTTCACTAATAATAAATTTTGTGCACTTCGCGGGAACAAATTTTCGTGAGTACACAAATTCAATTGAGTAATGGGAACACTTTTGCCGGTAGAGAGTTCTCCAGCAAGATATACCGTAGCCTCCTAGTAGTTGTATATTAACAGTAGGTATCAATTTGATTAACTAACCAGGATTACCAGCTAAAACTCCGCTAAAGATTCAAAGAGAAGATAGATATCTACTTTACATTCAGTTAAAGAAATCCAGTAATTCTCACAGGAGTAAATTTTGAGCGAGTTGGCTTGAACGGAATTTAATTTTCGCGAAGACTGGACGCCTCATTTTCTAGTTAAATCCCAAGATCCCCAGCGTGCATGCAGCTTTTACCATTTGGGGAGAAAGCATCTCCTTGCACGTCGCCTGTCTTCGACTTGCAAGGTTGTATTTGCGCATGTCTCGTGCAATCTCTTCGTCCATGTCCATTAATAAGGCACTTCTCACACTCTCAACTCGATGGTTAAACTCTAGCTTGCCAAAAGGAACAACCAATGGCACCTAGGAAAATAAACAAAACAAAACAGCTCATAACTTTAACTATATTGCAAGGACTAGTTATAACCAAAGGTTATGGAGTGCGGGCGACAGCGATCGAAGGTCAAAACGCTTTTTCTGCAACG